GGGAGAGAAAAAGAAGCAAGGACAGAAAGAGGAGGGAGAGAAGGAGAAAGGGGAGAGAAAGAAGGACAGAGAAAGAAGGGGAGAGGGAGGACAAAGAAGGGGAGAGAAAGAAGGGGAGAGAAAAAAAGACAAAAAGGAGAGAGAAGGAGAAAGGGGAGAGAAAGAAGGACAGAGAGAGAGAAAGAAGGAGAGATGGGGAGATGGAGAAGGACAGAAAGAGAGAGAAGGGGAGAGAGAGAGAGAGAGAGAAGGATGTATATTGCCAGCTTTGCCGCCGCCGGATGCCTGAGCTGGGAGACAGGCGGGTCGATGGGTGGGAGGAGAAGGGTCTGGACGGAAGACACTGCGTCGCCGTGGCATTTCATCTGAATTTCCAAACTGCCTTCGCCGAGTCATACAGATCTGGCAATAATATATTAATATGAAAAGTAAAGGTCATTGCACATAACGGTTAAGCTCCCTGAGCTGCGCATTTCCATCAGCAACAGGCTTATGAAGAAACGGAGAAGAAAACAAAAGACGCCCTTGCAGATTGACGGCAGTTTGGGGGGGTGAAGAAAGGGGGGCCCATTTCAGGCGCCTTATTGCAAAGCGGCACCTGTTTCACATCCAAATCCTAAGAAGAATGTCTTTAAAAAAAAAAACAACCCAGCTCCTCATTCAGGAAGACCCAATTCCAGCTTCCAACTGTCGGCTTTGCACTAGCCCTTAGATTTATATACTGCTTCACAGCGCTTTGCAGCCCTAAGCAGTTTACAAAGCCTATGGACTCCAACAATCTGGGTCCTCAATTACCCACCTTGGAAGGAGGGAAGGCGGAGTCGACCTTGAGCCGGTCAGGATCGAACTCCTGGCAGTGGGCAGAGGTTGCCTGCAGTAGTGCATTCTAGCCACTGTGTGATCATGGGAAGGAAGGAAGGAAGGAAGGAAGGAAGGAAGGAAGGAAGGAAGGAAGGAAGAAAGAGCAATAGCCCTTAGACTTATATACTGCTTCATGGTGCTTTACCGCCCTCTCTAAACAGTTTACAGAGTCAGTTTATTGTCCCCAACAATCTGGGTCCTCATTTTACCAACCTCGGAAGGATGGAAGTCTGGGGTAATCTGGAGCCAGTCAGAATCGAACTGCTGCCAGTCGGCAGAGTTAGCCTGTAATTGTGCTTATATTCACCATAATGGAACAGGTAGTCATCAACAATAATTCATTTAGTTTGAAGACACCCCAGCATTGAAAAAAGTGACTTGGGACCATTTTTCACGTTTATTTTTGACCCTTTCAGGATCCCCCTGGTCATGTGATTCACATTTGGATGCTTGGCAACCGGTTCATATTTATAACGGCTGTGTCCCCAGAATCAGGGTGATCCCCTTTGCTGACCTTCTGACTAGCAGAGTCAGCTGGGAAACCACTTAACGACTGTGGGACTCATTTAACAACTTCAGTGATTCCCTTCACAAAGGTGGCAAGAAAAGTTGTATAAAATAGGACAAAATCCCCTTCATAGATTTCTCACTTAACTACATAAATGTTGAGGGTCAATTGTGGTCATAAGTTATTTTGGGAAGCTTCTTCTCCAGCAACATTGAATTGTTAACTAGGGCATACAAAACCTTTGCCAGGCCAGTTCTCGAATGCAGCTCGCCCGACTGGAACCCACACTATATATCGGACATTAACACAATTGAAAGCGTTCAGAGGTATTTCTCGAGAAAAGTACTCCACTCCTCTACTCACAATATGCCTCCAGGCTTGAAATTTTGGACCTGGACAATCTGGAACTGCCCCGCCTGCGGTCTGATCTAAGCATAGTACACAACATTGTCTGCTACAACGTCTTGCCTGTCAACAACAACTTCAGCTTCAACCGCAATAATACACGGGCAAACAACCGATACAAACTCATGGTAAACCACTCCAAACTCAATTGCAGAAAATACAACTCTAGCAACAACTCTGAGTGGTCAATGCCTGGAATGCCCTACCTGACTCCATTGTTACAGCCTCAACCCCACATAGCTTCAACCTCAAACTATCTTCCGTGTATAGGAATGTACCTGTTAAGTTTGAGCAATGAGAGGCTGAACCAGAGCACGAGTGCAACAGTACTTTATTTACAAATAAAGGGCTGACTGTGCTTGCCAAGCCTGGAACTGGCTCGCAGCAATCAGCAGCCAGTTGGACCCCGCAGCCTGCTTTTATAGCTGGCTGCTGGGGAGAACTGACCAATGGGAATGGGGGAATAACGCCCACACAAAGTGAGTGGACCTGAGTGAGAACTCCTTGAGTCCTCAGGACATAACACCCCTTCCCCCCAGATGCGAACACGCATAGTCCTTGAGGTAGATGGGGGGTTTGTGTTGGCGCCCGGAGCGGCGCAACTCGGGAACATTGTCTGACTGTTCGGTATCAGTCTGTGACGGTTGAGCTGGCATAGTGTCGCCAACACTCTCTCTGGACTGGGCATCCTCGGAAACCACCGGGTTGGTTTCTGGAGTCAAACTCTCGTGGGTTGGATCCGGTTGGTCAACTCTCTGGGCGCTGTTGTCCGAGTTTGGGCTGACCGGAACGACCGCTGGCGCAGACTGGTCACTGGGTGCGGTGTGGCTGTGTGGCGGATGGGACGGTTCCCCTTCGACTGGAGACTCTGGATTCTTGTTTGCGAGGTTGCTGTGGCGCCTTCTGAGTTGGTCTATGTGTCTCCTCCAGACGCGACCATCCTCCAGCCTGACTCTATATGATCTCGGCCCGGTGACGGCGATGACCTCGCCCGGAATCCAAAGTGGGTCCCCAGCGAAATTCCTTGCGAATATCGGCTCCTGTAACATAAAATGTCTAACCCCCGAAGTGGAAGCGAGGGGAGAGTCAGGGCAGTATTGTGGGTGCAGTCTATCTAATACAGTCCTCAGGCGCCGGCCCATCAGAAGTTCCGCTGGGGACTTATTGGTGACTGCACAGGGGGTTGAGTGCTGGCTCATCAGGAACCGTGAGAGTTTGTGGTGCCAGTCATCTCTGCCAAACCTAGCGAGGGCCTCTTTGGTGGTCCTGACGGCCCTTTCAGCCAACCCATTACTCGCAGGGTGAAATGGGGCTGTGAAAATGTGGCGAATGCCTAGGTTGGCTGCAAAACGGCTGAATTCTACTGATGCGAACTGTGGGCCATTATCGGAGACCAAGGAGTCGGGTAGTCCATGGGTAACGAACAGGCGCGTTAACACATTGGTGATTGCTAGTGTGGTGGTCGTGGATAGCTGCGCCACGTCTATCCACTTGGAATAAGCGTCCACGACCACTAGGAACATCTTTCCATGCACGGGGCCGGCCAGATCGATATGGATTCTAGACCAAGGGGCGCTGGCGCTCTCCCATCTGGTAGGGGTGGCGATGGGGGGAGCAGGACGGGATTCCTGGCAAATGCTGCAGGAACTTACCCAATTGACAATGTCCTCGTCTAGACCTGGCCACCACACGTAGCTGCGTGCCAACGCCTTCATTCTCACAATGCCGGGGTGTCCCTCGTGCAACGCCTCCAGGACTCGGGTACGCAGCGAGGTCGGAATGATCACTCGAGTGCCCCACAGTAGACAACCCTGCAAACTGGACAGCTCCTGCATGCGAGTCTTAAAGGGTGCGAATTTGTTATCAACATTGCCTCCCGGCCACCCCCTCCTCACCCAGTCGAGCACCTGGGCGAGCGTTTGGTCTGCCTTGGTTTTGGCGGCGATGTCAAGGGCGGTGATGGGCAGGTCCAACTGGGTGATTTCAAAAATGGCATTGACAGGAGCTGGGTCTTCAGCCGGAGCGGGTAAGGGGCAGCGACTGAGTGCGTCAGCGTGGGATAGAGTTTTGCCCGGGCGGTGGATAAGTTTGTATGAGTAGGCCGCTAGGAAAAGCGTCCACCTTGTCATCTGAGGGGAGAGGACTTGAGGTGTCTGTTTGTCGCCGGCCAGTAGGCCCAGGAGGGGCTTATGGTCGGTGACCAGTTCGAAGAAGTGGCCAAAAAGGAATTCGTGAAACTTTTTCACGGCTGCAACAGCTGCTAGGGCTTCCTTGTCTATTTGGCTGTAATTTCGCTCCGTGGCCGAGAGCGTCCTGGAGAAAAAGGCGATGGGGGCCTCGGCGCCATTGGCGAGTCGGTGACTAAGGACCGCCCCAATTCCAAAAGGGGATGCGTCTGCTGCCAGTACTAAAGGAAGGTTGGGGTCGAATTGGATGAGCACTGCCTCTGACGTAAGTAGTGATTTGACGGCGTTAAACGCCTGGTCTTCTTTGTGCCCCCAGTGCCACGGTGACTTTTTGTCTAGTAATCTGTGTAGGGGTTCGGCTACTGAGGCTTTATGGGGCAAAAAGGATGCATAAAAGTTTAGGAGTCCCAAGAAAGCTTGTAGCTCCGTTTTGGAGGTCGGTGTGGGAGCTTCGTGGATCGCCCTGACCTTGGACTCCAGGGGGTGAATGCCAGAGGCGTCAATTTTATAACCCAGAAAGTCCACCTGTCTAGTGGCAATGGCGCATTTTTCTTTTTTTAACTTGAGGCCATGCTGTCTGAACCTCTCTAACACTGCTCGCACTCTCTGGAAGAGTTGGGGTCTGTCCCTGGCCGAGACCAAGATGTCGTCGAAGTAGGGTACTACACCAGGGAGGCCCTGTAAAATCCGCTCCATGAGGGATTGAAAAATACCCGGGGCAACACTTACGCCAAATTGGAGACGCTTGCATCGGAAGGCACCCCTGTGAGTGACGATGGTCTGAAGTTCCGCTGTTTGGTTATCAACAGGGAACTGTTGATATGCTTGAGACATGTCCAATTTAGCAAAAATACTGCCCGGTTCGAATGTGTGCAATAAGTGCTGAATGACGGGCACGGGGTAGGCGCTAACTTGTAAATATTTATTGATTGTTGTCTTGTAGTCCGAGCAAATTCTCAGGCTACCATCTTTTTTGAGGGGTGTGACAATGGGCGTCTCCCACTTGGCGAAATCTGTTGGCTCAATGACCCCTTGTTTTAGTAGTTTATCCAATTCAGCGTCTAGTTTTGGTCGAATAGCAAATGGAACTCTACGTGGTTTTAATCTGATTGGGACTGCCTGGGGGTCAACGGTGAACGAGATGGGGGTTCCATTATAACACCCCAGCTCCTCGCTGAACACATCTGCGTAGTCAGCGAATAAGGAGTCAGTGTCTGAGGTTGAGACAGCATGGACTCCTGTTAACCCTAGGCCGAGGTGGGGAAACCAATCGAGCCCCAATAAGGTGGGTAGATTGCCGTTAACTACCACTAGAGGTAGGTGGCCTTTAAAAGCTCTAAAACTGACAAAGAACTTGCCTCTGCCGATCACGGGAATGGCCTTCCCCTGGTAGTCCTTCAGACCGAACTGGCATCTCTGAAGCCGGGTAGTAGATAGGCTGGGGTGGAGTCTCTTGAGGGTGTTCCACGAGATTATTGAGAGCGCTGACCCTGTGTCAACCTCCATGTGGCACGGTTTACCTTCTAGGGAAACGGAGAGAGAAATTTTGCTAACAGAGTGGCAAGTACACCTGGCAAGGCGGTGCGTGCGACAGTTTAATACTTGCCTCTGTGGTCTCGAGTGCGAGGACGGGGGTCTTTGTGCAGCGCTTTGGGGGGCTTGGCAGACTCTCGCAATGTGCCCCCTCTTATGGCAGTTGTTGCAAACGGCTCCTTTAAACTTGCAGGTGGCCCTTTGATGTGATCCCCCACAGGCTAGGCACAGGGTGATGTGCTTGGGTGGACCGGTGTATTCTTGTTTGGCCCCTACCTGCGACCGTCTGTCATTGGTGAGGCGATGGACATCGTTCTCATCGTTGTGGCCTTCCTCCGCTTCCACCTCTTCGGAATGGACTGGGAACGCTGCTAGCTTGGCGCTTGGGCCCTGAATTTCGGTGGCTGAGTTTGTTGCTAGCTCGGCTGCTAGGGCCTCCTCTACCGCTTGCGCGAGGTTGAGGTCTTTTTTAGCTAGCAGTCGCCTCTGTAGGTTGAGATCCTTGACCCCACAAACCAATTGATCGAGGAGCATGTCCTCCAGGTATGTTCCAAACCCGCAGTGCAGGGCTGCTGTTCTGAGGGCGGCCATATATTGGTTGATGGTCTCCTTACTTGATTGCTTCCTCATTCGGAACGTGAACCTCCTGGCGATTTGTGAAGGCCTGGGAGCGTAGTGGTTTGTGAGGATCTCAAGCAACTCGGACCACGGAACGTTTTTTAATTCTCTCGGCGCCACGAGTGCTGCAGCGGTATCGTAAACAGTGGCTCCGCAGTAGATTAGGAAATAGGATTTTTTCCGATGCTCTCCCGCATCCGACAGGCCGACCGCATCGATGTAATGATTGAAACGGTTCTTATACGATTCCCACTTCTCTTCGTCTGGTTTAAACGCCGGGAATACTGGATTGGAACCCATGGTGCTGGAACGGCTGGGCTACCTGCGGGAGAAATCTCTCTGGGACTACGAACGCTCGTGAGTTACTAGTGATATCAGCTCTGGAGAGGTTTTTTGCTACCCTCTCTTTCTCTCTCTCTGGGTTACCACGTTGGCTGCTAGCCGTTGGAGGTGTCTTGATTCGCGCCAAAAAAAGTGGGCGTTAGTGACTCTCTACAGCGCTGTGCTGTGATTCCTACTGGCTCGAAATTCAAATGACACCCGTTTGAATTTCGCGCCAAATGCAGAGCGGCTGCGGCTCGCAGCGCTTCACTTTCCCCGTAGCGAGGCTAACAAGCGGCTACAGACGCTTCTAACTATTTGACTCAGACCGCTTTCTCTGGCTGCGGATCTGCGTTTGCTCTTTTTGATCGCTCGTTTCGTTAGCTGACCGCTCTCTCTGGCTGCGGATCAGCGTTTCCCTTGTTGCCAGCCGATCGCTCTCTCTGGGCTGTAGATCGGTGGCTAGTGACTCAGCGGTTGCAAGGTGCTTCTGGTAGCCATCCCATCCTCGTCGCCAGTGTTAAGTTTGAGCAATGAGAGGCTGAACCAGAGCACGAGTGCAACAGTACTTTATTTACAAATAAAGGGCTGACTGTGCTTGCCAAGCCTGGAACTGGCTCGCAGCAATCAGCAGCCAGTTGGACCCCGCAGCCTGCTTTTATAGCTGGCTGCTGGGGAGAACTGACCAATGGGAATGGGGGAATAACGCCCACACAAAGTGAGTGGACCTGAGTGAGAACTCCTTGAGTCCTCAGGACATAACAGTACCCCATTCCTAAGAGGTCCTTAAAGGGGGTATACATAAACTCATCAGCAGGCCTACTGTCTTACTGTCCCCATTTATCTGTATTTACTCCCTTCGTTTTTCTTCATGTTCATACTTGTTATCTTGTACATGTTTGACAAAAAAATAAAATAAACTTGAAGACTACCTGTCTGTGGGAATGGTCTTGGGAGATCAGAGAGAGAGACACGCACAAAGACTGGATTGCCACAGGAGGTGTCTCAGCCCACCATAAAGAGAAGACGTGGGCTGCGTTTTTTGAAGAGACCCGGCCTAGTTTTCCAGAGAGTAAAAGGAGAGGAAAGAAAAGGAGGAAAGAGACAAAAAAAAAATGTTTTAATGGTTTTAAGGATTTAATGATTTATTTTTTTATGACGATGAGTCGCTCAACCGTGAAATGGGTGGCATATAAACTTAATAATGAAATACAGCAAAATAAAGGGACAGGAAAAAGTTTTGCAAGGCATTGTTTGCTGTCTTCAAGGACATGGGTATCAGGTGGAGGTAGACTTACTCTGGTTTGTGTTGGTCTTTATAAAGGCTAAGAACCCACCTGATGTTTCTCAGCCTTTGTCACTTTTAAGATAGATACGTAGACTTCAAGAGATTTCCCAGCCAACCGTGCCGCACCTTTTAAATCAAGGTTACTAAGGTTGCTACGGCCAATGTTGAGAAACACAGAACCCAAATGTCTAGCTCTTTAAGTTTGTAAGCTGCCCAGAGGTGCCCTGGGTTAAGATGGGTGGCCAATAAATATTACGGTTGAATAAATAAATAAAACTCTGAGCCACATAGATGCTCTGGATAGAGTTCCTAGTATTTAAGCTCCATAGAATTCAGATAGATAAATTGGTCACAATATATATCAAACCCTATGAAAAGAAGTGAGAGGTGACCTCCTCCTCCTCCCTTGCTCCTCCTCCTCCTCTTCCTCCTCCTCATCCTGTCTCAGATGAAGTTGCATGTTGCACAATCAGGTTTTATAAATATGGTTTGTGGAACAAGCCATATTTGGCAGATGTTCACACAACACTCGAACCGTATGATGAGGAGGAGGGGAAGAGGAAGAAGGAGAAGAAGGAGGAGGAGGAGGAGGAGGAGGAGGAGAAAAGAAGAAAAAAAGGAGGAGGAGGAAGAGGAGGAGAAAGGAAAAAAAGACAGAAGGAAGGAAGGAAAGAGAAAAAGAAAGAAAGAAAAATAGACTTTGCTGTAGGCCTTATAGTCCAGAAATTCCCCCTGCCCCCTGCCTCTCCCGCAGTGGCTGATTCCAGTCCTTTAGAAAAATCAGCTTACTTATGAGATATTAGAAGCTTTATTGCCTCCTTTAATATTCGTGACCATCACCAAGAAATGTATCACAACTTGGCATTTATGAGTGCTAGGCACAAGTAAGGGGCATGTTATTTGATTTGAATAACAGCTCGGAGCTACCGTTTGAGTCGAGAAATATATTAGTCAGAAACAATCTCATTTAATAACACCGAAACTAATAAAAGGGGAAGAAAAAGTATCCAACTTCTTCAAAATTGAATTTATGAATATTGCTTAGCACGATTAATGATCAAAAAAACCCAGACCTGTTTGTCATGTTATTACCACATTTTCTCACCTATTTAAATGCAAAACTGGAGGCTTAGATTTCCTGTTGCTTTTCCTACTGGGCTAAAAGAAGCTATTACATATAGAGAGAGGCTTGGGACACTCTAATAAACTTTAATTACAAGGTCAGGTAATCAAATTATAATCCAATTGCCTCACATAAAATGTGTATTTGATATTAATCAGAGGTAATTTTACAACTCTGTGTTATTGTTCTTCTAAAATGAAAATATTTCATTTTCATTTAAAAAGTCACCATAGGACTTTAGCCCACTGTCTTCCCTGTGGTTTAATTTGATTTATTTAAAGATTCTCCGTCCGCAATAAAGTCTACCGGTCTTTTTAAAAACAATGAGAGTTTGAAAATCTGCAACACCCGCAGATTAGAAAGATAAGGAGATGGACAGGGGCTGAATGTATACATACAATAGGTGGCCACAGATATATGTGCAGATGGAAATATAGCTGTTAGTTTCAAAGATGCCAGGAAATTTAAATCAAAATTGTAGTGTGTGGGGGGGATAGAGAGAGAGAAAATTATAATATTGTAATTTTACTTCTGTGTAAACTGTCTAGAAATTATGGTGAAGGGAAGTTTCTGCATCTTCAAATAAATATTTTGAAAAGTCCCTTTCCTAAACTAATATCCCCTGCAAGGAGAATCCATTTCCCCTTTAGTTGTAGACTGAGGTGTGTGTGCGTGTGTTAAAAAAAAAACCCTCACTCTACCGACTCAGACAAACAAACAGTAAACAACAGCGTAATCAAGAAACCTCTGCTCCCATCAACACTGAAAGGGCAAACCAGCTGCATATAAAAATAGAGCAAACCCCACTCCCTTTTAGCACTGATGATGTTACCTACTTGGGTCGTGAAATGTCTGCAAGAAAACAACCCAGCTCAGACGGCACCAAGGACCCCATAGTGCAACCCTGAGCTACAAACATTCTCTTCTAATGAATCAATTTTGTAAGGTCAGGAAGATAAGATAGTTTTCAGGAAGTAATTAACACTCTGGAGAGTCCGCAGATCCAACTCCATTTGAAGTCGGGATTCACTGTGGGCGACTTGAAAGGTCCCTACTTTCTTTTCACACTAATCCTTCATGGAGAAGGTTCCCCAGAAAAAAAAAATGGGGTAAGAGAAAACTACTTTGTTGGCAATAAATAGCAGAGTTCTGCCATCTGCTTACTTGCTCATAAAGCACCTTCGGTTTAATGGACTTCAGATAGATAGATAGATAGATAAATAGATAGATAGATAGATAGATAGATAGATAGATAGATAGATAGATAGATAGATAGATAGATATTAGGCAGGCAAGCAGATAGACAAGAGAGATAGAGATAGATAGATGGATGATAGATAAAGATAGAGACAGACAGACAGACAGATGATAAACATAGTTTTAGGAATTACAAATGGACTAGAAGGGATATATGTGTGCATTTGATTCCAGACTGTAGATGGAGCCATATGCTAATTCTTTAGAGCAGAGCATTACATATTTTCATGTGTGATCAAGGGGGGGAAAAAACTTGCTAGGATCTAAATTTGTAAATAACCTCTCTCTTCCCTTCTCCCTGCTTTTATTTTCACCACCAGAACCGCGCTACAATTTTTTAATTTCTGCGAGCAACTTCATTGCACATCTACTCCAGAAATAAGTCAGGCCGTTACAGGGCTTATTTTCAGCGCACCCGAATGTAATGTTTCAACTTTTGCTAGATTTCAAAATGAAGAGCTAAAACCACCACCCCGAGTTTTATTAAATAGGAATTTAAAGATTGTAACGTGGCCTTCAAACAAAGGTCATTCTCCCCCCTCCCATCTATATTCTTCTCCATCAGAATATTTGGATATTGATGTGAAGCTAGAACCGGGGAGGCTTCAGTTAAAAATCATTTTGTGCCACAAAAGACACTTTTTCATTGTAAATCTGGGTTCACAAAACTCCACCGCACGATGTTCGCCTATCAGGGCTAACCCAACCAAATAAAACATGGTTTAATGGGATAGGCTGCTTCATCCAACAACGCGTTAAGCCGATGGCTGTATTCTCACAACATGTTGAACTGCTAAACTGCTTGATATGGTTTTAACTTTATCTAGCCTGTTGCGTGGACTCTTGCCGCTTGCTCCTCCCGGCCCAGCATACTTTCCAGGTATGTAGTTGAAGGGATACCTTGGAGGAAGACGTGACAAGTAGGCTGCCTTGCCCTGCGTGGAGAAAGCCTTGGGGTTGGGAATCTAAGAAGTTCTGTTATCCAGGAGAAAGTCCAATCATGGAACTGACCTCAGCAATAATGTTGATTAGGGGGCTGGAGGCTAAAATGGATGAAGAACGGTTGCCGAGGAACTGGGTATGTCTAATCTAGTAAAAAGAAGGACATCCTTAGAATAGGATGGAGCTGGAAGGAACCTTGGAGGTCTTCTAGTTGAGCCTCCTGCTCAAGCAGGAGAACCTACACCATCTCGGATAGGTGACTCCTCTTCAAAACCTCCAGTGATGAAGCACCCACAATTTCCAGTGGCAAGCTGTTCCACTGGTTAATTGTCCTCATTGTTGGGAAGTGTCTCCTAAATTCCAGGTTGCTTCTCTCTTTGATTAGTTTCCATCCATTATTTCTTGTCCTGCCCTCCGGTGCTTTGGAGAATAGTTTGACCCCAACTCTTCTTTGTGGCAGCCCCTCAGATATCGGAACGCCGCTGTCATGTCACCCGTAATTCTTCTTTTCTTGAGATTAGCCAGACTCAAAACTTGCAGCCGTTCTCCATATGGTTTCGTCTCTGGGCCTTTGATCATCTTAGTTGCTGTCCTCTGAACTTTTAGCGGTCTTCCAATATTTGTGGGGCTAATCCAATATTTGTGTCTTCCAATATTTGTGGAAACTAATCAAGGAGAGAAGCAACCTAGAACTAAGGAGAAATTTCCAGAGAGAACAATTAAATAGTGTAATGGCTTCAATGTATTCAAAAATCCTAGGTGTTCCATCCCAGGAGGTTTTGAAGACGATAACTGGACAACCGTTTGTCTGAAATGGTATAGCGTTTCCTGCTTGAGCAAAGGGTTGGACTAGAAGACCTCCAAGTACCCTCCCAACTCGGTTATGCTGTTATTCTCTTACGTGGTCCCTTCAGAGCTGCTAAGACATCTTGTAGCAAGATGCTCTTGTTCTCAGAGACGGCCTGTCAAATCTTCCGCCCTCTGCATCTGGTTTGGGAGGAATGCGAAGACTGTTAGGGACTGGTGCCAGTCCGACTTAGCGGGAGGACTCCAGAGCATAATCTCACACCGTTTCCCATAACATTGACCAGGGCTTGGCAAGCAATGTGCTCTTGGCTGTGCATTCTGATGGAAACCTTGACGTGGATCTGGGATGGCGTGGCGCGTTGCCCTCAGCAATCCAGAAGAATGTCGTCGACTCTCCCTTGACTCCTTGGGTCCATCTGGGGTACCCAAAAGGAGCTGAAGTCTCTTTCTGGGCCTGGTGTGTGTGTGTGTGTGTGTGTGTGTGTGTGTGTGTGTGCTTTTTCTAGGGTTCCCGCCTCACATCCTCGCAACAGGGTCAAGGGAGTCACTTCTGTAAAAAAAAAAAACAGGCAACAAATTCCTGTTCCTTGAAACAACTTCCACGCTGGAGGAACAATTTCGGAAGCTTCCGGATTGAATGAGGTTCAGCCAAAGCCCAGGTTGTGTGAATCAGGTTCACGATGATCGAGGTGCGATCCAACTCCCAGAATTCCTGAGCTAACATGACCAGAAGAATTCTGAGAGTTGAAGACCACAAGTCTTAGAGCTGACAAGTTTGAGGACCCCTGGTATAAAAGAAACCAGAAAAGTTCTTTTTAAAAAGCTGGCTCAAAACAGTTGGGTTATTCAGCTTTTTTCCAAGTAGAGGAACATATTTAGAGTAGAGTAGAGTAGAGTAGAGTAGAGTAGAGTAGAGTAGAGTAGAATAGGGAATAGAACGTAATAGAATTTAGAATAGAATAGAATATGGAATGGAAGGAAATAGAGTAGAATAGAACAGAATAGAATTTAGAATAGAATAGAATAGAATTTAGAATAGAATGGAAGGGAAGGGGAGGAGAGGGGAGGAGGGGAGAGAAGAGAAAAAAGGAAGAGGAAGAGAATAACAGTGTTGGAAGGGACCTTATAGGTCATCTAGTCCAACCCTTTGCCCAAGCAGGAGACCCTACACCATTCCTGACAGATGACAATCCACTCTCTTCTTGAAAGGCTCCAGTGACGAAGCTCCCGCAACTTCTGAAGGCGTATTTGACCATTTGATGGGGATCCGTGTTCCAAAAGGTAATAGCTGGAGCCAAGAAAAAGAAAAAAAATTCATCTGCATATAATTACAAGGAAACATAGCGAACAGGCTTATTCTCCCATCATTCATTATTAAGTATCTCCTCATTAAAAATGGCAATTTAGCAACAACGGGTGGTCTCGGAGGTCTGGGGGGGGAGGGGCAATGAAGCTTTTGGTGCCCAGGATTGTCTCTCTCTTACTTAAAATGCTGTTTAGAAAAGATATTTGCTTCATTGGTGCTTTTTTTTCTTCCTTCCTTCCCTTCTCTCCTCTTGAGGGAGTTTTCCAACTTGCATATTACGAACAAGTCACAAAGAAGCGGTAGAAGCTTTGAGCTGAAAACCTTTCGCATTTGCATACATCGATTTCAGGCTATTATCATCCAGAAGTTCGTTACGTTCTTCTTCTTTGCAAAGAACCCGCCGATTAATTATGAAAATGCTTATTAAGTCCCTCTTTCCCTTCTTTTTCACACACACACACACACACACACACAAAAATCCAATTTTCTTGATACCTGTATTTCAAATTAGAGATTGTGACAAGTCCAAAGTCATAAAAGTGGATTGTTTAAGGGTTTCCAACTTTCCTTTTTATTAGACCTTTAAGCTAGAAATAACATTGAACTCATCAATTGGCACCTAAAAAGTGTGTGGTGTGTGTGTGTGTGTGTGTGTGTGTGTTGGGAATCGTTAAAGAAAAGATTGGAGGCTGGGAGGAGGTCTTGGAAGGGAATTTTTCATACTCTTCTATCTGGTGGATCTTGTTCAGGCTTAAAGATAAGCAGGATGAGCCTAGTGTGTATAGAAAAGGAGACCAAGAGGAAATCTGAGAATTGAATAGCTGGAATGGAAAATGAAAACCAAACCCCGTGTCAATTCATAAAACATTCCTATGCCTGTTTTAGTAATTGCCATAAAAACGTGGGGAGAAAGAAAATCTGGAGTAGCAGCGCAGCAGTTTGAAGTTGAAAGCACATTCCAACTCTTCTCTTTAAGAGATTGTATCTAAAATACCAGAGCTTTTGCCCGCGAATATATTTAATTGGAGAATGTGATGATGACACCCGGGTGAACGTGCTCAGTTGGAGAATCTGATTTATGATGCACCTGGGGGGGGGGGAGGGAGGAAACAGGGCCACAGGGGACTGTAAATGACGTAGGCCAGAGTTGGCTTCATAGAGGGCAGGGCCATTCTGTCGCCTCTAATGAAGTCTTTGAAGTTTCTTGAAGTTTGGCTCGAGAATCATGATTTAATTAGGGCAATTGCTGGAATCCTGACATCCTACTTCTATTTTGTTGCCATGAAAGAGGCATAGATGTAGCTCTACACTGGTCTGTTGTTGTAGTAAAGATTTGGCTTGGCTTAGCTAAGTTTATCATGATGATAATCAATTTCCTGTATATGCTGTACATGCAGGCTGGGGAATTCTGGGAGCTGATGTCCACACCTCTTAAAATGGTCAAGATTGAGAAAAGCTATCCCTAGTTATTCAAGCACTTTTCTCCTTGATTTTAGCTCATTTTAGGCATTGTCTACGCTTGATTTTACCATCGATTTGGAGCTGATTAAATCGATGGAGGGAAGAAGTAAAAGAGAAACACATGTCTATATTAAATATTTTTTTTAATCCACTTCATGTGGACTTTGGGAAGAACTAAGGCTACATATCACAACGCAGTCCAAAAAGTTCTTTTTACAAAGTGAAGAATATGACAATACAGCTCCCTATCATTTGTTCTCCTGTCGAAGGACAAAAGATACCCTCCCACTCCCTGGGTTAAGTCACTCCCAAATCAAAACCTTCTATTGGAATCCAGCTTTTATTTATATCTTTTTTTTAAAAAAAAGGAAAATTAACATATGTTTATAAGCGCATGCTGGGATTCAATCTATGGGCTGCCTCGGTTGCAAATCAAGCCGGAATGGTTGTGCTTAATCTATACTTAGTGTAAGCTTAATAAATCCGTATGATAATGCTTCTGTTTAATTAGGCAAACACTTGTGAGTGTTTTCAAAGAACAAATACGATCTAATTTAGGGCTTATCCGGTGCCAAACCCCTTCTAAGAGAGCTTCCAAGTGCTTCTCGTGTGTTCACACAAAGTCTGGATCTCGACTGGGGAACATTTCCAAAATGCAGATGGTTTAAAGGTCTGAAGGCTCAGTGGCTAAGACGCTGAGGTTGTCGATCAGAAAGGTCGGCAGTTCGGCGGTTCAAATCCCTAGCACCACGTCACGGAGTGAACTTCCATTCCTTGTCCCAGCTTCTGCTAACCTAGCAGTTCGAAAGCACGTGAAAATGTAGTTACCGAACTAGTAGTAACACCGGTTGAATCCGATCCCTGCTTTACCTAAGATCGGACTCACAGCCTCCTGACTGTGAGATGAGAGCTCTCACCTCTAGGCCACCATACCGCTCCAAAGTCAATTCCTTCTGTGCATGTGACAAAATATTTGCGGGGCTTGTGCAAATCCGTGTCTTAAGTCACCTTTTCTTCCCCTCCAGTATTTCGCCAAGTTAGACATGCCTAACTTGAGAGCAGTGACATAATTGTCTTTAATCATTAAAAAAAAAAAAGGAAGCAGCAAACCAGCGCCAATGAGAAGATGCGTTAAAAAGCTCTGAATGAAAACAAAACACATTCAGTAATGAGAAAAATTGATGGGGTTGTCATCTCAACTCTTATTTGACACGGCACGGCTGGGAACTATTAATTACCGCAAAGGAAAGTTAACATTGGAATATTTGCCGTACCCATCCGTCCCGCAGGCTGTGGTCCTGCACTTTCCTTGGTTATCAAGATGTCGTATCAACTTGAAAAAGTGGTCTACCTGAAGAAGTCGGACTGTTGCAGAAGGCCCCAGAAGGATGCTGGGGGATTCTGGGAGTCGAAGGCCACAAGTTTTCAAGTCGCCAAGGTTGGGCACCTTCCGCGTTGAACCTTCAACCGCACAGTCGCGCCACAGAGTTCGGCCCACAGTTGGGAACAGGTCTTAAGTCTCATGATTAATTTCTTTTCATGGAAAGTATTTGCTTTGGGGTTGCAAAATATTAGGCGAATAATCAAAACCTCCTGCCGAAATACCACAGCTTCCTTTTCTGAAAAGCTCAGGGGGGGTGGAGGGGATTTAATCTTGGTGTCAAATCGAGCTGGTTTAAATTATCGTAATGCAGAAGAAGGAGCCTTAATGACAATAGTTGGGGTGGGAAGCCAAAGAATACGAGGAAATATGGGCCGATGGCAGCGGGCTGAATCCAGAGCAAGGGAGAATGCCAACATGTGCCTGTTTGGGAAGAAGGGGAAAAGACCGCGGTTCCAAGAACGTCTCTCGGCAGCGCAAATATTTGTGAGAACTTGCAGAGTTTAATCCTCGGAGAGAGTCAACAATCCCTCATGAACTGAAAGAGGGAGTCGGAATTCCAAAGGCAGAATTCTGGGATTTTTGTGGCCAAGATATTTGAATCACCCTTGGCGAGATGGGCAATGGACAAGCTTGATAAAGAAGAAAGAAAACGAAAGAGAAAAGGAAGGAAGGAAGGGGAGGGAGAGAGGAGGGGAAAGAAAGAAAATAAAATAAAGGAAGAAAGAAAGAAAAGGAAAGACGGAAGAGTGAAGGGAGAGAGGAAGGGAAAGGATGCATGGAGAGATACTGTACATAGATACGGTAGATGATAGATAGAAGGATAGGAAGGTGATAAATAGATGGATGGATGGATGGATGGATAGATAGATAGATAGATAGATAGATAGATAGATAGATAGATAGGATGGATAGATAGGATGGATAGAAAGG